TGCGTTATGATAATACATAAATACCTTGTCTTCACTGTAGCTGTAGCACATTTCTGCTGTCAGGTGTGACTTGAGTTAGCATTATGATTCTGCCTGCTTGCAAAGGTGAACAAGGGAATGTGAGATTAAAGGAAATGAACTGAGGAGAAAGAAAAGTGATATGACATTATGATATGCAGGACACGTCTCCTTTTCAAAGGACATGATCTAGTATTTCTGCAGAGCACAGTGTCAAAGAGGCTCATCCATCACATGATTTTATGGCAAAAAGCCTGGTCGCCGGGCTTATTTCATTTTTTCATCAATGAGTCTGATGACTAATAAACTCTTTGACCGTGATTTCATGTGGAATAATGCTACTACGTGAACACAACCTAAATTTAAAAGCTTTATAGTCACAGACACTGCCATCTAGCCAAATTGGCACATTAAAACAGTAAAATTTGGCTTCATTCAGCCGTGGCTCCCAATGACAAAAGAAATACTGGGAGAAAGATACCGGAGAGCACGTTAGGGCCACATGAATAGAGATTAAGAGGGACAATAACAAATTTCTCCTCCCCTTACTGAGACTCCTTTGCTACAATCAGCAGCCTTAGTGTATGCTGTAAGAAAGGGGTGTGATGCTAATCACGGTGCAGGGATGCATGGTTTAGCAGGAGATGCATAGGTTGGGCAAAAGATTGGGCAGACCGTAAAAGGTTTTTGATTATAAATGATCTCACCCATAACGCTAAAAGTCACTTTAAGCCCTTAACACCCACTGGCCAAAATATGAGTCCCTTGAAAATTCTGCTGCTGTATTTTGAATGACATTGGTCCAATCTGAATGACATTTGCCAAACCGCAAAGCCTCATGATTCAGAGAAGTTAAGTCTTTTACAGACACCATTGCTCTTATTTGTAAGCACGCAGCAATACATTGTCTCCCTTGAGTCATTATATATAGCACGCTGTTTTCAGCAAGAGCCCATATAAAGCACTACATATATGGACAAAGCCATTGGGAACATTGAGTGCTATCTATTTAAACATGTGTGGTCAAGAGTTAATATACTGGTGTTTTCATTTGTGCTTCCATCATTAACCTCGCGCCTGTTCACTGAATGCTTTCACCTCTCCTTGGCCTCTTCTTTCTTATTAGAAAGCACCAGGTATGTCCCCATATTGTCAATATTACAATTAAGAGATATGCATCTCCAAAGCTCATTTCTGTGTAAAAAAACAGGGGGTTGAAAACCAAATGCCATCAGAGTGGAGAAACACAGCAAATGTACCCGTCCTTGTGTATCTTGTGAGACTAAAATGTTGATACGGTGTAAATCAAAGTGCATTTACTTCATCAACTGTAACTGTAGGAGGTGCTACTGTGAGGAAAAATCTTAAGCCTAAATTGCCAAGATTTGTTTGAAAAATCCATAAGATAAACTACACAAATTTCTTACTGTAAGAATATAATGTGGCATTTGCGGCCGCTGTAATCCTGGCCTGTGGAGACTTTGTGCTGTATTGGAAGTGACAGGCTGTAGTGATTTATGTGACGAACACTGGCTTCATGTTAAGTATCACATTATTGATATGACAGCTGTAGCTTATGCTCAGGACCTGCAAGTGACAGAAAGGTCCACATGTGTGTGTTGGACTGTTGTGAAACTGTACGCTGGCTGTTTTGTTCTTTTACATGTGTGTGTATAAGGAAAGCAAAGTCTGTAAAGTGCCTGTTTATTCGTGTGCACAACTTGTATGACCGTGCGCCTCTGAGTGGTTGTGCGCACAGCCGATGTGAGTGTTTTCCATTTTGTGTGCAAAGGCTAGAATTGGCCTGTCAGTCACAGTAAAGTGGGGAGAAGAAGGAGACGACATGTGTCGGGAAGTGGAGAGAGAAAAGGAGAGGGTATGAAAGAGATGGATGCGAGAGCACAAGAGAAGGGCAGAGGAGCAAAAGAGGAGGAGGACGAAAGTGAAGTTTGGGGGGATGAAAAGAAACTTTTGTTCTTTTTTTGAAAGAGAAATGCAAATGGAAATGCAGCACAAATGTCTGAGCGATTCTTGGTGTCAATTCATTTCAGAAACAGCAGAATAGTCCTTGAGAAGAAGAAAATAATAAATAATGATAAAGTTTACCATATACCACTTTTCAAGATCTGTGATATGAAGTCCTTTGCAGGAGCAGCAAAGTAAAATGATTACTGAGCAAAATAAAAAAAGCACCAGAGACAATTGAAGTGCTGCAAAAGAAATAATTTAAGAAATAAAAAATGGTAACAGAATCTGAAACTCAGGTACAATCAGGAAAAGCTTTCTTCTTTAAGTATATTTAAGTATAAGTATATCCATCCATCCATCCATCCATCCCACCCCTCGTTTATCCCAACCACCTTCTTCATCTCATCCAGAGGAACTGTCCTCAAGCCAACTGAGAGACATAGTTCCTGTGCATACTCTGGGCCCTCCACCGAGTATGCCCAGAACACCTTGCTTAGGGGAGGCCCAGGAGGTATCCTAATCAGATGCCCTAACCATCTCAACTTGCTCCTTCTGGCATGGGGGAGCAGCGGCTCTAGAATGACTAGATTTCTCACCCTTTCTCTAAGGCTGAGCCCAGCCATGCTTCAGAGAAAACCAATTTCTGCCCCATGGAATCATGATCTCTTTTGGTCATTACTCAGAGCTTGTGACTATAGCTAAGTGTAGCAATGTAGTTTTACACTTTGGTTTTACGCTCAGCTCACTTCACCACAACGGATTTGTGCAGCATCTGCATCAATGCAGATGCTGCACAAATCCGTTTGTCGACCTTCCGCTTCCTCACTTTGGAACAAAACCCCAGATACTTTAAGTCCTTTCCTGTCGAGAACCATGGGCTTGGATTTGGAGAAGCTAATTCTCATTCCCACTTTGAGCTGGAGGCCAGCAACTGATGAAGCCAACAGAACTATATCATCTGCAAAGAGCTGACACGAAATCCAGAAGTGACCTGGCTTGTTAGAAAACAGCAAAAGACTGCCTGTAAATTTCCCCTGCAGTGCATATTGTGACATTTAAGGTCATCGTTGCATCCCTGGCCTCTTAGTACCAAATCAATACATATACACAGCACTCCAGGACTGGATCCACTCACTGGATCCCAGTATGGGTAATGGACCGTTGCTTGGGCTGCAGCATGTAGGATCTTCTAATTTGTGTTGATCTTACTGACTGGATTCTTTTCGATGTCTTGTGCTTGGAAGACTAAATCCATTAGGACATATTGCAGCTATAAAGATAATCTCCAAAAATGTAAGGAGAGTGTAACTCTCCCACAGGCAGATAAACGTCATGTTTTAAAGATTTCAGGTAACACACAAAGGGTGTGTCATGTTGCAGGAGGAATAATGTTCAGTTGAGAAATAACTTTATCTTCCTAAAGTGTGAAGCTTCCATTTCCATATACGTGTGAATGCTTACATAACAGTTTTTTTTATTGTTCTCCCAAACTCAACTGATCACACTATGTTTTTCTTGCGTTCATCACTCATCAGGCTTTGCTTTCATTTGTTTTAGTGTGAAGTGCTCCCTGCTGCTCCTTCTCTCCTTAGACTTGCTCCCTAAAGGTCTTGAGGATGCTGGCAATGAATATTTCACTAAACTGCATTCTCAGGTTATCAATAATAAAATGGCATATTCTTATAAATATTCTAAAAATATAGCTGGACTCTGCCTCTTCTGTGGTGCATTAAAGATTCATACACACCTAGCAAACTGCTAAATCTTCCACCATAACAGACCCACATGTACATCACCACTGGACTGTATGCAGGTGTTTTCTTCACACTTCTACATTTTTGTGTTTGCATGTGTGTGCCTTGGTGTATCAGCCCAGCTCAGTTAAACCTAGAAAAGTGCTAAAAGAGGTGATTCACTTTGTCAACAGTCTGAATCACCACTGTCTAATACTACAGCACTCAAGCATTACAGACAGTTACACAGGCACACACGCTCTCCCCAGCCCACACACTCACCCTGTACACAGCCTTAAATATGATCTCGCTCAGTCTGACGCACATGCATACACAAATGCACTCTGTTTATCTCTCACAGATCATTTCCCTCCCTCACCGTGGTGAGATGTCGCAGCCTTGTTGCATGAAGGCTCCCAGTGAGAACCACAGGGAGTTAAAGATGCCAAACTCATTTGGAGGTTGGTCAGTGGGGCCCTGCTCCGTGGCACCCTCCTCTGGTTCCTCTGCATGCCACTCATACGGACTGAAGCGACTCACCTAAGATAGCATATGCAAATTTTAAAGAAAAAGAAGAGCTGAATAGGAACATTAAAATGAAAAATTGAAACATGTTAAGGACTTGAATATGCACACAAATGTTTTCATTTTAATTTCAAGAAAGACACTACAGGACTGCCAAGGTCTGAAATGGTTAAAATCCCCTTTTTTAACCCCATGGTAATGAGACACAGACAGCACTATCACCAGTGTTGTTATGCTCTTCCACAACATTAGAACACTAAGTCAGCAATACCAGTGTATATAATCTATACTAAATATTGCGTATAAATATAATAGCAACAGAGTAAACTTGGACTTGACAAAGCTAAAAACAGTAGACACGGTGTGCAGCTAAATTACAGTACAGGTAGCTGGCTTGGCGTCATTTCCCTGCATTGCTCAGTAATAATAATAATAGTGTAGACAAAGTTACAGACCCATTTGAGGTAACAAATATTTTTGTGTGGCTTGAAAAAACAACAGAAACATTGAAAAAGAAAGCAGCAAAATAAGAAAGAAATTGCTTTTTGGGCCATTGGTCATCAGAAAAGAACATTTGTGGTTGCAAGCTACATTCACAATTGTTGACTCTACATTTTCTTGTTTCCACTTTTCTACTTTATCACATGTGACTGTAAAGTACAAAAATGTATTAGGCTTTTCATTTATATAGAGGCAATGAATATTTTTTTTGGCCTTAAATCAAACTTTGGCAAATACACAGTACTGTGTGATTTCTAGTCAGTTAATATGTACACTAATAATTTTAACTCCAGAACTTTAGCAAGCTAAGGTTAACTGTAACCTGTAACTTTGTTACATTACTTTGGTTATAGTCATTTGATAACATTATCTGATTAGTTAGCTGTTATTTTCAAATTACTTCATGAGTAAGACAACCCCTGGGCGTATGTATAGGTGCTGGACTTAACTATGTTTTGCTAAAGTTTCACAAGTCGGCTAACCTTAACTTACCGTCTAACTAACACTGTCATTACTGCCATATTTGAATCCAGATAATTTTTGTAACTTCTTTAATAATAATAATAATAATAGTAATAATAAACAAAAACAAAAAATGAATAAATAAAAACAAAAACCTTGATCCACTTTTAAAATCTAATTTCATTAGCTATTTCCAGGTGCAAATGCTGCTTGTAAAGCTTACAGTAAAGCTTGATATCCAGTTATTCATGAATATGAGGCTTTACAAGGATTAGAAGTTAGCAAGCTAGTTTCCACCAAAAGATGACATTACATGTTCTGACTGTAGTATTTCTAACTAATGAAAACATACTCATAGCACTAGTAACTCTACTGCTATAACATGGGATATGGACAAATATGGAAAACCAGAGCCATTGGGCTAGTAGACAAATAATATTGTCTTACCTGGTTGATAGCTACAGAGCTATGGTTAGGCTAATATAAACACATTAGCACAAGGAAGACACGATGGTTGAGCCACAGCATGAGTTTAGTCAGTAATATGTTGCTGTGTGGTGAATCGCTCTTGCCTGAGA